TTCGTCACCATCTCAATACAGGCCACCTTAAAGGCAAAGTTCGGGCTCAGACCCACTTAATGAGCCTTTACGGTGGCTAGAAGCGCTAGGTACGCAAGTGTAGAGGTCGCGTCACTTCCCTACTTCGAAAAGCGTTATTTAGACGCTAGGCGCTAAGAACTTTGACACGCTCCACCTGTTGCGACACGCTCCGCCCACCGCTCGATATCTTGTCTGCGTCGCAATGTTGATCTGCTATGCTCTCTCTACTCGGACTTCTCTACGCTCTCCGCGCTCACATTATCTCTCATCTCCCTGCCGGCCTTTTGAACTTCTCCGCAGCGTAGAGCAAAAGGCTCGTATTTCCTGTGTATTTCACGATTTTTTTTCTTTTTTCTCCACTGGCGGTCCACTTCCTACCCCTACTTTCACATTTGAGTGGAATTACCTCATCCTTCATCTTGCCTCTAAACTTTAGGAAGGAGTAATTTTCTTTGTATGGTGGGCGATAGTTCTGCGTTTCACTCAAGTCAGATATGGCGCGCAAAAGCCTTGATCATGTTCAGGTCTATGCGAGACCTTACGAGGGTTGGACATCTCCTGCCCAATGACGCTAATTCGATTTCGGACTCTAGACTTGTGGTCACTATTTGAAAAGTCTCGATAGAATGCAAATCTGGTGACGGTCATGAGCCTATCCAACCAAGAAGGCGGTAATACAAGGGAAAGTTGTTAGAGCTAAATGTGAAAGATTTTCGTCTTTTGTCACATTTGAAGTATTTTTGGTCAGCTGGTTTTTGATCTCTTTTCACTCCCGTTTGTGTTTCGAAATTAAAAAAAAACCTTTTTTGATTACTATCGCGATAATGGCTTCTCTACTTTTAATGAAGATACTAAAAATACTGAGACACTTACGTGAATAATTGGTGGTTATAAATAGGTATAGAGAGCTGCATCCGGAAATCACCACCCACCGTTGACCCAGTCATCTGAAGATTTATACTTAGATATTTCTATAGCTGTATACACCGTAAATGCGTAATTCTTTACGGGCTGAATATCAAATGCTGCTGGCTCGTGTGCTGAAGAATTTGGTTTCAGTCCATAGACGTTGTCGCGAACTTCCTGTGGAGACCATAAGAAGTGCGGTGGAGAAAGAAACGCAGCGAATGGCGTTAAGACATTTTGTCCTGGAAAAAGCCAGAAGCCATGACAAATTATCAAAGCACTGAAAATGATTAACTCCTACCTGGTAAGCACCGTAATGGGATTATGCCTGGAGGAAAGAAAACGGTTGAATTGTAATGAGTGCCTAAAAACACTGTATTAAAGTCTTGCACTTAAGTTTAAGTTTTTATGAATGATGGGTGTTCTCGAAGAGGCCCGTCGCGCGGCAAAGGAGAAGTTCGCAGCGCATACTGTAGCGGTAAGGCGTCAATTTCAATAGAACGCATACAGTACGTACAACACCATTCACTCCACGGCGTGGGCTCAAAATTCGATTTCTGCTAGCCGCTTTTTCTTTTTTTTTGCGCTATTACTTTTCCTCCACATTCAATTGCCCCCAGACTGCTCGTCTTTGTTACGTCTCTTCCATTTCCTCACCATAAAGCCTATCGTTTGTCGTGCATGTTGGTATTTTAGTCGCTTCAACTATTTTTAGCCGAGCTAGCTAGCTAGCTTTTTTCTGAATTTAATTTTTTTAGATGTGACCTATTATATCTAGTGCTCATTTCGAAATATCGAGGACGTTGTAGTGCTGGGCTAGGCACTGCTTTTTTCATTTTCAGTGAACTCCACACCTTCAGTTTCTCCAAATAAGTTTTATGGTGAGGAGATGGAAATGGTTCCTATTGAACTGACGCCTAACCGCTACAGTATGCGCTGCGACTCGTCCTTTGCCGCGTCTGCGTCTCTTCCTTCGCCGCGCGACGGGCCTCTTGGGGGACACCCATAAATTGTATTGGCTTGATGTTTTTGAAGTGATGATTTAAAGGCAGTGACCACGACCGCTTGAGGTCGGTGCGACTTTGATG